AAGAGGTGGACAAAGGAGGAATTCACCCCCATTTTCTGCCTCATTGTTTGTGCTGGGACACACCTTGTCATCTTCTGCCCTCAGACTGGAATTTGCACCATCAAGTCTTCTGGTTCTCAGGGTTGAGGCTCAGATTGAATTATTTCACCAGCTTTCCTGGGTCTCCAGTTTGTGGACAGCATGTTGTGGGACTTTTCAGCCTCCATAATCACGTGAAGCCAATTTCTTATAATAAATCTATCATCACCCTCTCTCTCTCTCTCTCTCATCTATCTATACACATATATACATATATCCTGTTAGTTCTGTTTCTCTGGAGAACCCTGAACAATACAACCAGTAATAAAGAAACAAACAACTGCAAAGTACTATGTACACATCAGGTACTGTTACTAGGATATTCTGTGTGCTTTCTTCATTCACTCATTTATTGAATAGCTATCTATATGCCCAGCGTGTGCCATGTACTGTGCTAAGCACAGGGAACAAAAAGTCAAAGAAGATTTGATCCTTCCAGAGACCAACCATAATCTACAGAAAAATTCCATAAGGACCATTATTACCCTCACTTTACAGAAAAGGAAACAGAAGCTCAGAAGAATTATAGGACTTATCTAAGGTTACATAGGTAGAACATGGCAGACCTGGGTATTATTATACGGCTACCTCCTATTAGCCCAAGATTCTAGAAGAAATTATTTATACAAATGGCCAGAAAGCACTTGGAAAAGAATGTGGTAACAAGAGGTGCCAAAATATGCCATGTAGATTTGTCTTCAGAAGGGCTTCTCCCACAGCTGTTAGGAGTGCTATTGGCAGACAGCCTTCAACTGTCAACACTTCAGGATCTGACTCAGCTGCAGAGAGCCACCTTGGCGAAGGCCATGCCCCTTTCTTAGTCTGCCCATATTGGAGCACTAGCTGTATAAAGGTTATCGATCTCAGCTAAACCCAGGACAACCCGGAAGGGTCATTCTAGCCCACAAGTCCCCCATGTGATTAGCTTAGGCTGTTGTTGGATGTGCAAAACAGCTTAACTTCTCCCTCTGCCCACCCTACCCCACAGGTATTGAGCCCAACATCCTGCACACTAAACTCGGAATTGGAGTCAGCATGCTGCACGGAAAACCTGTTGAGAAAAGGAGGGACTCTGTTCTTTTTTCATCCTCCAAAGAGCACAACTATAACATGAACAAAAGTTACACAGAGACAGCATTTGGGTTTAATAAATTTCTTTCAACAATGAAACAGCCTTCCTCAAAAAGCAGTGAACTTTGTAAGATAGAAGGAGCACTATTACTGTTGGAGGCATCTCTATCAACCAAATAAGTTGGTATTTTACTTAAATTTGTTTCTTTTCATCCTTCTGCTGGCTAACACATAGCATAACATAACTGGTATTTAGAAATTAGTGATTAGAATTCTCTAAAAGGAAACTTCCTAGTTTCAATAGGTTCTGGGAATAATTTTAAGATAGATGGGGAGGGAATCCCATTTTCCAATAACTCCCCAAATTTATCTGAGATTATTTAAGATATAGTGGCACAGAAACTGTGTCAATATCTACCAATATCCATTCACTCCTTTATCTTTTAGTAACAGAACCCTGAATTTTAGCTGGTTATATGTGTATCCAGCCAAAAACTACATTTCCCAGACTCTCTTCCAGCTAATATGGCCATATGACTAAATTATGGCCAGTGGGATCTGGGGGGCAGTGATGGGTACAACTTCTGAATTCAACACTCAAAAGAAACCACTTGCCTTTTATTTTCCCTTTCCTCCATCCCAAGGCTGGAACATGGAGGTGTTTTGTGATGGTAAGGCACCAGCATCCTTGAAAAGGTAGAGCAATAATACAGAAAGTTCCTGGGTTCTTGAATAACGCCTGGAGCAAGACTCTATTACCCATCTGGACTGCCTACCAGCTTTGACTCTTTTGTGGGATAGAAATAAATCATCCATTTTTTTAAAGCCATGACTATTTTGGTTTCTGTTAAAGCATCTCTACCAATATTCTAACTCATACAGATCCCAAATCAACAACTAAAACCTGGGTGGTTTTCCTTCTTTACCATATCAGCATGATATCTTACTAGGAGACCACAACACGATAAGAATAGAAATTAACATTTGCCTGTGAGTTGACCTCTGCATCCTCCTGTCTTCTTTTTTGGTGCTTGGCCTTGTCCTGGTCCATACTATACTTGATTTCTATATAAAAATCAAGGGCCCAGGTGAGATCTGAACTGGAATTATGTTCATTTGTCTGTAGAGTAAGATTTTTGCCAGTAGCTAAAACCCTGATTTTCTATGTTGCTGAAGCTTTGTTTTGGGGAGGAGTAATTTTCAGATAGGTTTGTTTATACTGTATATACACATAGATATATATGACACATTCATCCATCCATTCATTCATTTCATTCATTTATCGAGTCATTTGACCATGATGTATATACAGGAAACCTATCCAAATAAAACGAAAATCAATTCATGATAAGAGATATCAAACGGGTTACAATTCATTAATACATATTCACAGATAGATGAAAAGAACAAGTGAAACACAACTTTATCTTAAAATTCTTCAAAAGAAATAGAAATCAGAAATTCAATTATGAATATGTTATGAATTATGTTATGAATAGCTTATCATTTGGAATTTTCTTTATTTCTAGTAGTGTAACAATTGATGCTTTTGTAGCGTAAGAACCATAGCCTAAATGAAATATTCTGATATATCATTAACTGGTATAGGTCCTATTTCTCTTTTTGTACCTGAATTAAGTGTAGCTGTGTGAACGTCTGACTGCTTGGCTGGAAACATCTAAAGCTGTGCAAAGCATTCCTCATTTTTATCATGGCACTAACTAGATTTCAGAAGGTTATTTCTATTTATCCAGTTCTGGAGATAAAGTTCTACCTATGTCATTGGTGAAATGCACCTATATTTGGTTATGGGTTATCTAGAAGAGGGCATGGATTCTAAAGCCAAGAATATGTTTCCAGTCCAATCGCTCTTTACACTTATGTTTATCCAGAAACGTGCCTACCTTTCCCTAAAGCAACAATCACAGCTCATTTTCTTACAGTTAATGTCAAAAATCACAACTCTTTGGGAATCATAGTAATGAGAGAGCCAGGTTCTCACAGTAGAGGAAACCAGCTGGGAGTGTGGAGGCAGTAGCGGGGGGGGATCCCTTGGTTTGTGGGGCTGCAGGGCTGCAGGAATTGCCTAACCCTGGGATTACTTCCCTGGGTGTCTCCATCTAGTTTTAACATTGTTTCCCTAACATCTTTTTGTCAGTCTCAGCCACGTCATGTCAATATACCACTTTAAAAACTGGTGTTGGGAAGAGCTCAGAGTGACAACCACTCTCCTTGCTGTACCCTCATTATCTGGGAGGAGGAATGACTTGGGCAGGCATATTCATTCTGATAGAAGGGACTTCCCCTTTCCAAGAGTCAACTAGCTTTCAGCAAATATATCCCACACATGTCTGGGATCGTTCTAATAAGTTTTCTTTCACAGAAATTTGTTCACTGAGCCCCATGAACTTGCCTTCTTACACTTATCCTGGTAGCTTTCAAATGACCACTAGGTTTATTACACTCTACAGAGAAGTGGATATAAACTGGTTTCAGGCATTGAAATAAACTTTTACAATTGATAAAAAATGATTTAGTAAAAGTAGAAAATGATTTGAAAGATGTTAACTGAAAAGTGAAAGTGTGTACAGTTAAAATGCCCCTATTACTAGAAATCACCTGTATTGTAGACCAACATGTGAATTTAAAATCTGTACCCTCCATGGCAGAAGGGAAAGAAAACTAATACATGTTATGCCTCCCTTTTCAAGAAAACATCTTAAGATGGCAAGTGAGTATGATTAAAAATTACCTGAAATATCATTTGCTGTGGTTGACTACTATTAGCAATCATGTTAGTTGACCCTAACCGTAGAGGTAAAGGCCATTATAAGCACTAAGCACTAAAGAAGGCATCTTTATAGACTTTATTCATCCCAGGCAGGCAAACATTTATTCCCAAAGGATGGGTGATTACAACTCCTTTAGAAAGGTTAGTCGAGATATTCCAGAAGCATCTCAAAAATGGTTCAGCATTTATTAATTACCTCGTTCATGGGAAATGCTGCAGGGAGAGCACATTTCTCTAAAGAAGATGCCAAGAAGCCAAGAACATATTAGCTCCTAGTATGAGAGCCTTCATCTGCTCTTCACAGCTATTTTTAGAAAACAATTGCAGCATTTATCAAGTACTACAGAGAAAACACTGTAAATGTTGGAACTCAGAATGCAGCAGTTAGAGAAATTTAGTAGATAAGAATTGGAGAAGGAAGTACAACTTGTAGAAAAATACAAATTTGATTAATATAAATAAGGCATACCTGTATCTGAGGTGCCTAAATGATGAGATTATTTAAAGCAATTTGATAATAAAATATAATGAAGCTTATGAATTTTAATATCTTTTTAGGCTATGATCTATGATGTTAGATTAATATTTCTTTTTGAAGCATTAGCAATGAAAAGGGTTTTTATTTTCCTAAAAAAAAGCGATTTTCTTGGTTTTCTTTCCATGAGTTTTTATGTTTTATATCATAAGAGATGACATTAAGATGTGTTTTTAAAAATCACTATTAGTAAATTTGTATACTTCATATTGTTTTTAGTTGTTTCAGGAGTAAGTCTGGATAATCTTTATGTTATTCTTTCCTTCTTTGAAAAATGATTACAGGAAAACATCAAAAAGAAATGTGATCTCGTGCATTTTTACCATTTTGAAAAGCACAGAAACTGCAATATAGAATGAGCATAACTTTCCATGGCTAGAACGAGCTGCTTCAGGTTTATAGACTTCATAAAATGGTGACCGTATGCAGCCTTCAGTTTAAGAAGTTTCTGATCTACTTAACGTGTATGGGCAGAGCACAGCTCTCTGTCCAACCTCACCAAAGCTTGAAATAAAATCCACTCACCACTGGTGATGGGGAAAGTGCAATGTTGCCTATTGATGCCTTCAGTTCATCTACAGTTGCAGCGTTCTTAAGAATGTCTTTAGCTTGCAATGGCTTAATCTTGATATTAAACTTCTTGTGTGATTCTTCTTCCTCTTCCGATTCGCTTGAAGAATAAAAGTGCTTTCCTTTGGTAGGTAGAACACAGTTAAAGATACGTAACTCTTTTTTTCTACTGGGAGGCAATGATGAGTATAAGACATGAGTGACTGCACATAGAGGCAGCAGAAGTATCCTTAGATGGTAGAAAATCAAAGCAAAACAAACAAAAATCAAAGGGTAAAGAAGGAAAGAGTTAGAATTTATTCACCTTTCCTTGGAGCAGGATTAAGGATGCTGAATTTCAAGGAGCGATGGTTACAAAGTTGGCCATTTGTGTCTCACTCAGCACACACAGTGATAGGCGTGACAGGCCCACGGGAACTTCCTCTTACTGTGGAGACAGGAAGGCCTCTCTACTGATGATTTGTGATGATTTTTAACTGCTTCAGAGTGTGACCTGCTCTTACCGGAGATGGTTTGCAGGCAAAGCACAAGTCAGAGCTATTTTCCAGCCACCATTAGTGACGTTGTCATATCAGATTTCAGCAGACAACCCAGTACCCGCAATTTGTACAACTGTTTTTCAGCACAACTTTTCTCTTTCTCCTCTCTCTCTCTTTTCTATGAATAGAGCAAGGCAAAATGCCTGCTTGTTAGTGATCAGGCTGTTCTCTGTGCTGTTTATTCATCTCTAATACAAGGGACAACAGGACTTGAGAAGCTTGGGTTTCAGCACCTTTTCAATACAAAATTTATCACCCTGCTGAGAGCAAATGAAAATGAAAATGAAAATATAAAGAAAGGATATAGCCGGGTTCCTCAGGTCTGATGCTGTAGCCTTCTTCATCCAGCTCAGGCGAGTTCTATAAAATACAAGTGCACATCAAGCAATTATTATCCTGACAATGATAAAGGAATTATTCATTTTCCTTCAAGGGTCTTCCAGTTAAGGGTATAGACTTGTCTCTTGTTTTGGAGGTGAGTGCTGGGCCCTATATGTTTAGATATTTACTCACGGATATTTGGAGAGTCTTCCTATTGGGAAAATAAACTAGTAATCAACTGTCAATGAAAGAAAACATTCAAACAGAATTTATCATGCATTTCCTGTAAGCCAAAGACTATGCTGAGCAACATGGCATGGATACAAAATGCAAATTATCTTTCGACTGTATTCTGGTAAGCAAAAGTTCAAAAAAATGCGAAACACAAAACATCAGTGATAGGAGTTTGAAAGGAGAGGAAATTTGTGAGGTTTGGAAGAATTAGGGAGTCTGTGTGTGCCTTTCAGGCCAGATGGAGAGGAGAGGGGAGTCAGTGGTGAGGAAGAGCCTGTACCGAGACACCAAGGCAGGAATGGACAGTATGATTCCTGTAGGGAAAGGGAGAGGCAATGGTGACAATGACAGGACTGGAAAGGAAGCTGTATGGTGGGAGACCATGGAAAAGAAGACCATGGCTGGGGGCTGGGGAGCAACATGCTGGGGGAAGAGTCTGGACTTGATATGGCTACTGCAGCTTCTCAATTAAGGTAGGACATGCTGAAAGCAGAATCTTAAGGTGTTGGAAATATGCTTCAGGATATATTGGGGACAGAAGAAACTGGAGAAAGGAAAACTAATTTAAGATGCTTGCATCAATTCAGGTGAGATGTGCTAAGTAAATGACCAAGTTGTTCGTGGTGGGAAGGGAAGAATCAAGGACATTTGGAAGGACAATTTGTTAGTTCTCAGTAACAGACTGGTCATAGGAGAAAAAGAAGATGGAAGGTTCAAGAAGACTCCAAGATTGCTCTCCTCAAATTCTGGGAGTACTCCTGGCTGAACTCATTCTAACAGAAGGCAAGTAACATTTTTAGGAAAAAGACAGGAAAGATAAAAGATAGTTTGCATGACTGGGATAAGAGTTATATTTTAGTTCCTATTATATGATAAGTACTGTGACCCACGCTTTATTTTACTGACCCTTCATAACAATCATATGCAGAAAGAATTATCCCATCCACCAAGGAGGAAACTAAGAGGAATTAGACGCCATTTCTCAAGGAAACACACCCAGCAAATGGTAGACCTGGGCCTTGATCCCAGGTATTTTGAGGCTCAACTCTATGCCTGAGAGAGGAAAAGGGTACAGAGTTCAAGGGCAGCCTCTTGAAGTTGAGGTCATAGGCCTGGAAGTAAAGAAGACAGAGCTGGAGAGAGAGATTTTGGAGTCACTGAAGCAAAAGACATACCATGACCACGGAGAGAGAAGAGGGCCTGAACGCCATGGAAAAGCTGCCATTTATTGGGCATTTATTGTCTCCCTCTGTCCTTTCAGTACTCAAAGCTACTTTTAAAAAGCAAGTGTATTAAGGTTACTTTCCTGCTAAAAACCTGTCCCTGGCTTCTCACTGCACTTAGAATAATAGTCAGCACCACTGTGCAGCCCACAAGGCCCTGCCTGATTCTCACAAGGCCTTCTTCCCACTATTAACGTTTATGATTTGATTGCTGCAAGCTCTTTCCCACTTCAGGGTCCTCATAAATGTCCTTCTCTCTGCCTGGAAGTCTCCTCCCTCAAATGTGCAGTCAGTTAAACCCTACTTAAACTTTAGGGCTTTGCCTGAAGGCCACATCCTTCCCTAGGCCTTCCCTGCCAGAAACACGATGATATAATCTATTAAGAATAAAACCTTTATTATTACTTAGAGAAAGTGGAGTCTAGTGTATAATTACAAACACAGTTCCTGTGACCCGAGTATTTTTTAGGACCAAGCAAATTCGAGGGAAATTCTGCTTCATTTAAACACTTACATGTTGACAGGACAGCACTAGGGTTTAGAGTTTAGATGGGGTAGCAGAAGTACTTGATGAGTAATTTCGTATTTTAATTATCATGCTTCTTGTTTGCTTAGAGTATCCCATTCCTGTGTATTAAAGAATTCTACAAAACATAACAAAAATCTTTCTGGGTGAAAAAGTGTTAATTTTGAGAAAAGAAATCATCCTTCCTTAATATCTTTAGTAATTTCCTTTATAACATTATTTGTGAACAATTTGGATGTAGGATAACATAGGGGCTATCGTAGATCTAGGGAATTAAACTGCTAAAAATATCAAAAGATCTCAATTCTGGGAAACAAATATAAGAGAGGACCAGGTAATGAGGTTGACAGAATGACATGTTTTGGACTGCACGGGTGGCATGAAGAATTTAACCTTTCTGAGCTTCAGTTTTCTTTTCTCTAAAATGCAGATAATGTAGTATTTACCTTCTAAGGTGGTAAGAATTCAGTAGCATATAATATTATAAATGGTGGTTGTTATTATAAAAATAAAATTCTTCTTATTAACAAATGTGCAAAAGCATTAACATCAATCTTAATTCTTATGAAAGGGGAGGCTGGGCCAGACAGTCACCTAAGGTATAAGTACAAAGGCATTCTGTAGGGACTGTGAATTTGGGCACTTACTATGCAATAGAAATGATTTTGGATGTGAGTATGGTCTACACGTTTTCTATGATTAGAAATCTAAGAGCCATTGTGTCCATTTTGTTGTGGTTGGTGAAGTGTGTGGTGATGAGGTTAATTGCTTTCTGGGGGAATTATGAGGAGAATTTAGGTCTCAGCTGGGATTCACCTTCGCTCCTTGAGAAGCAACAAGTGATTGTCATTTGACCTAAGAAAAATCTGTACCACGAGGCTATAATAATTATCATGAGCTATGATATGAAGGTTTGTATTCTCTCCAAACTTATATGTTGAAATCCAAACGCCAAGGTGATAGTACTAGGAGGTGGGGCCTTTGGAGGTGATTAGGTCACGAGGCAGGAGTCCTCATGGTTGGGGTTAGTGACCTTATAAAAAAGACCCCAGTGAGGTTACAGCTAGAAGGTGCCTTCTATGAACCAGAAAGTGGGCACTCAACCAGACACCAAATCTGCTGGTACCATGATCTTGGACTTCCAGGCTCCAGAACTGTTAGAAATAATTATCTGTTGTTTACAAGCCATTCAATTTTTAGTATTCTTGTTAGAGCCGCCCGAATGGACTAGGACATTATGAAATCAAGGCCCAATACTCAAAGCTGCTTAGAAATATAACCAGGACTGAAACATCTGGAGTTAATATTTTAAAAAGCATTTTTTGAACACATATTACAGGCTAGGCAGGCTACTGAAATATTCTGCAAATAATTAGCTCAATGAATCCTCGCAACAGTGCTATAAAATAACTACTGACTTCATTTTTGCTGGCCAGCAAATAACCAAAGCCACACATAGGTGATATATGGAGGGGCCAGGTCTTGAACCCAGGTCTAATAGACTCTAGTGCTCTTAACTGCTACCTGTGCCAGCACTTCCTAATGAGGTGTTTCACTTATTTCTGTGTCCTATTTTAAATACAAGAATGCCTCGACTCGTTTTCACATTCTGAAATATTTATAAAGACAAACAATCTTCTGATACTCACGTATCTTTCCCAATCAATTTCCGCATAAAATCCATTTGGTGCCCCATTGCTTTTCTTCTGTAATAAATTTGAAAATACGTTTAGAAGAGAAACAATTGAATGAAAAAAAAAAAAAGGAACAAAGAACACTTCACTCTTATCTGGATTTAGCAAGAGCTATCCAAACCCAACACTGGAAAGACAAATTAGAGCAGCCTATTAAGCGGCCACATTGGTGTAACTGAATGGTAAATTGAGCTGCTGTGACACTGCATAAAAGAACTTACACACTTATTTCACAAAAGACTGTAGGATACCTAAGCATAGAGATATTAACAACTAGCTGTTCAAATTTTATTCAATTACTAGAGAGTCAGCAGCACCTACGTTATAATTTCATCCTCTATACCTTAGGGGATATACCCAGATGTATATACGTATTTAAATGGAAATATTTTGACTTCTACATTACTCTCATATACAATTAGTTCCAACAGATCCAAAGAGTATTCATCCCAGCCATTAACTAGTCTTCTTTTAACTTTTCTGACACTGACTCAACTTTTTCCTAACCACCCCCTTGACAGAATATAAAGGAAATCAGCTCCAAATTAGTTAATTCAGCCTGTAAGTATTAAAAATAGTGCTGATATTCTTTTCAAGTGGCTTTTCTTACCAAATTATTAATATAGAATTTGAGGATTAAGAGTGGATTTCTATCATCCATGCATCCTAAGCCTCCATGAGCACACATCATTACAAGTGACTGGGTATCAGCATTGTCCTCTCAGGATTGTCTTAAAGTTCTATTTTGGCCCCTAGACAACCATGGCATGTATGGCCATAAGAACTTGAGCAAGGATGTGGCATCATCCAAATTGAAATTCCTGGGATTCTCTACTTCTTGTGAGCAAAGGACAAAAACGCAAATGAGGTTGGTAATGGACAGTCCATTCAACAACATTCCTGTAGTTGGCACATGGAGCAACAGTATGTCACAGAGATCAGCACTCACAGATCTCACAACAACACGCATCAGATGCTGACATGACACACGAGGCTTGAGGACAGGACACGTAATTTCGCAGTCACAAATGAAGGCCAGTTGAAATAAAATATGAACAGCTGACAATTTGACAAATAGGCAGGAGAAGAAAGCTTTGCATCTATGCATATAGGATCACTAGAAAACCAAATCAGAGGTAAACCTAGTAACCATCATCACTGAGTAATACTTACTGCATGTTGACTGGGCACTCTAAGAACAGTAGTTTGGTAAGGGTGAAGTGCCTAGGGAATAATGTGTTCATTATCTTCCTCCCTCTTCCTGTACACTAACACTGCACTGGAATTTACAAATGCACCAACTCTGCCCCACCTCCACCAACCAGTGCCCCAGAATACAGGGCTGGTACCCCCTTCGTCTGTGTCTTGCTCCTGACAAAGATAATGTACTTCGTCAGACTACATCATTTTAACCTTCTCACAGAATTGCCTTCATTGAATTAGTGCTTCAATGACATTCTTTCTTCTTTGAACAAAGGTTGCTTTAAAAACCTGCCACATCAACTCTGCACCTGTATGAGCTATGAAGCTGCTTTTGAGGACATGGTCCATTAAATAATGTGCCATCTAATAAAAAAAAAATCTCTCTCATAGTGAATGGGCATGGTTCCTATTTTCTTTTCATCATATTTGCTTTCTTTTAAAATTTCTACTTTACCAATCTGTTTGCATATGTCTTCTTTGCAAAATTCTCCAAATTCTTCTTAGATAGCATGTATAATAAATTCAAAATACAAATGTAATGTATAATAATGAGAAATCAAATAAACTAAGCTGATCTCAAAGAACTAAACTGATGAATTTTGTGATCAGTATAGCACTATTAATAGACCTTTTAGTTATCAAACAATTCTTCAATACAAAGAATTGTTATCTGAAAACTAAAGAGATTAGATAAACTACTGCGTTCAAAATTTTCAAAGTTCTACAGTTGTTTGCTTCCATGATAAGCTCATCTCCATAATCAAAGCCTTTCAAAACCAAGATAGTTGATATGTTCAGCTAAACAAAAACAAAATAAATATATGTGTGTGTATGTTTCTTTCCTGACAACATATATCCGACATTATGACTAAAAAAGTTCCTCGATTTTTTGAATTTTCTAGATCTGGGCTGAGTGAAAATTTCCCAGTTTCCATGGAAACCAATGGAAGATTGAGATAAAGAGAAAGCAAAGCCTATAAAAAGAAATTTTCCTTTAAAATAGGAACATTTTAAACATAAGTACTAAACACAAACAACAAATTATAAAAATACATTCTTTGGGGCAGACATTCAAAACATATGCAAACACACACACACACACAGATTCATTAGAGAAATTGGCAATTTGGCCTCATTCATACTAGTGAATTCTTACAAATATATTTGGTTTTGCAAGTGGATATTATCAAGTTAAAGCTAATCCAGAACCTGGCTGAAATTCTTCTGGTCAAACTCCAAGGAAGAAACAATTCTCCTGGTTTAACCATTTAAGCAGCTCATAGTGGTAATATGGAGGTAATGGCTGTATTGATTTTCAATTGGAAAACAGTGAAAAAGCAAGGAAGTATGTAAGTTAAGTGGGGAAATATTATTTAAAAACTAAGCTTACTATTTAAAGCAATGTTGGCTATTCATCAACATATAAACAGTGATTTTTCTCTTGGAGTATAATTATTTATTCTTTTAATTCTTTTCTGTATTTTCTAAAATTCCACAATTAGCACAAATAACTTCTACAACTTGAATATATGACTGTTATTTGAAGATAATTGAGGCTTACAGCAATGTTGATCACGTTTTAATAGGTATTTTACTTTGGTCAGGTTTATTATCTGCTCTCAGATAATATCATGGTTTAAATCAATAAACGTAGTAACAGTTGTGTTCAATTACACATTCATCAAAGTTCTTAATTTCCATCGTGAATGCTCTTCTTTTCCAAGGTCAGATCATGGCCACATAGCTTTCCTTGGCGAGAAGTATTAAAGGCACATGATACACTGCCTAAATATAATCTTTTTGCCATTGAGACAGACTTGACTCACTTTGTATAGAACAGCACTATCCAATAGAACTGTCTGTGAAGAAGTAAATGTTCTGTATGTGTGCTGTCCAATATGGTAGCCACTAGCCACAAGTAGCTGTGGAGTACTTGAAATGTGACAAGTGTGACTGAGGAACTGAATTTTATTTTTGAATTAAAAAATTATTTATTTACTTAATTAAAGTATAGTTGATTTATAATGTTTCAGGTGCATAGCAAAGTGATTCAGTTATATATATATATATATATATATTCTTTTTCAGATTGTCTTCCATTATAGGCTATTACAAGACAATGAATATAGTTCCCTGTGCTCTACAGTAGGCCCTTGTTGTTTATCTAGTTTTATATATAGTAGTGTGTATCTTTTAATCCCAAATTCCCAGTTTATCCCCCCCTTTCCTTTGGTAACCGTAACTTTGTTTTCTATGTCTGTCAGTCTATTTCTGTTTTGTAAATAGGATTTGTATCATTATTTTTTTTTTTGGATTCCACATATAACTGATATCATATTATATGATATTTGTCTTTCTCTGTCTGGCTTACTTCACTTAGTACGATAATCTCTAGGCCCATCCATGTCGCTGCAAATGGCATTATTTCATTCTTTTTTATAGTTGAGTAATATTCCATGGTGGAATATTCCATGGTGGAATTCCAAGATGTGGTGTATATATGCACCACACCTTTATCCATTCAGCTGTCGATGGACATTTAGTGAGCACTGAATTTTAAACAGCCACATGTGGCCACCGTGTTGGACAACACAGTTATAGTTGTTGCATAGTCTGGGACAGGATCAGCATCCCAAGTCCATTGTCAAGTACATTAGATCCCACAGGCCAAGGTCCTGCCAAATTCCTGATGTTACTGAGATGGTGCTTATCCTAATAAACAACTACTCAATTTGTATGGTGGTGTTTATATTACAGCCAAGGCTTTTTTATAGATAGCATATTCTTTTTAAAATCTGAATCCCTATCCTTTGTGTAAGACATAGGAATCACACGTCTCTTATGCCTGATCACTTTTTAAAAGTATATTCAGATGTCAACATATAGAGTCTATTTGGTTGATTTAAAAATTGGCCCTGGGTAATCAGGAAGTAATTGGGAAATATTATCTAAGAAAGAGTCTTATTAAATGCTACTGTTGTTTTTTCAAATTTCAAATTGGGATTTTACTCACTGTTTCTACAACCCCTTGGATATCTTAAACTAAAATCTGTTTCCTTACCGAAACTTTTTTTCCTCCTTCACGTGCGCACTCTGCTTTGTTATTGTAGGGTGGTTCATGTGGGCTGGGCTGCTGGAATTGATTGTTTTCATGTAGAAAAAAGTTGTTAAAGGATCTGTTTGTTCTTCAAGACACATATAAAGAATCACATGGAGTCAGCAAGCATACCATAGAAGAAATAATGTCTAGGCCAAATTGTAGGGCCTACCAATCTTGGCAGGGTTCTTGAAGCAAAGAGTGGACTTTGGGGCCCATAATGAGGCTCTATTCAGCAGGCCGGTGTGGCTAGGCCAGGAGAAGAAGGGAAGGAGGAAGAGGCACCCCAGGCACTAGGGATGATGTGGATCGAGTCCTTACTCAGCCGGCACTTAATTTACAGGTAGAGAACAGACACCAGGACACACCAAAGAGACTTAATAAAAATGGTTGCATTTCTAATGGACGTCTGAAAAGGCTAGCTCCATCATATATTCCCCTGGATCAAAGCCTTCCTGGGAGACATCAATACACACAGCACACACAGGTGACAGCTCCAAATCCGGACCCTTTCTTGCACACGTGTTCAGGATGAGCAGAGATCTCCTCACAGCAACGGCCGTGACCCCCCAGTGCCCCCAGTCTAGGTGTGGATGGAAATCTGAACTGCTTAGGAAAAACTTAGAGTGTATCCTGCACAAAACAGAGTTTGTCTCTGGGTTAGACTGCATCATCACACACAGTTGCCTGAAGCTTCAGACATTGAGACAGACAGCTCGGCCGAGGGTAGGCATTTTCAGCCAGTGGGGAGCAAGGTAAGCCCATCTTGATACGTGCAGCCTGGCCACAGAGGCTCTGTAGATAAAACCTCAAAAGCAGTGTCACTAGAGATGGGCTTCACTGGATTTTTGAGAAACTGAATTTAAATAGTTAAATCTATCGTGTGGCCCCTGCATGGACAAAGTCGTCTATAAACATTAAATAGGTACACCACAACCTGTAGTCTGTAGAACCACATTAGTGAAACCATAAATTTCAACTTCAGATATTCAAAAAGCAATAATTTGAAAGCTGACTCAGCCACATAAACGTGGACTGGCTCCACAGACATGAGGTCTTAAAGAAATCAGTCTGAGTTTGAAAGAAAATCAGGTTGAGATTTCCAGGGACTGAATGCGAACAGAAACTTGGACCCTACAGCACTGATCTCATAAGACGTTCTCAAAATTTGGTGACCATAGTATGTGGAAAAAGCTTGAGGCACATTTCCAAATAGTAAAATTAGCAGCTGGCCAATAATTTCCGGTTACCTAGGAAGCTGTACACCCTGTTTCTGAGAACCTGCATTTATTTAGAATGCAGCCTGTTTTCCAAACAGCTCTGTGTTATTTCCTGAGAAATCGAAATTAAATAATTCTTCCTTCCTAAAATCATGACCATTCATGGCATTTCCAATTAAGGAACAAAGAAGGCACATCTGCTGATAAATAACTTGATGTGACTGAGAATGGTGACAGTGAAGGAGGATCGGGGAACTCAGGGATGAAGCCCTGACTTAGGGTGGGCAAGTCCGCAGAATCATGGCTGGGCTTATTGACTCAGCACATACTCAGAGTTGCTTGCTACACGCCCGCCAGGACTGTGCCAAGCACTGGGATGCATGTTCTGCTCGAGATTTAAACTCGTGGTCCCTAGAAGACCAGAGAACTCTGAGATAGCAGTGGGGCCTTGGGAGACAATGAACAGCAGCGTGGGAGGAGCTTTAGAGAAAGGAAAAAGGACAAGACTGAGGGTGCCACAGGGAGAGAAGCAAGAAACAGCAAACCAGCCTGGAAGCAGCAGGGAGGGAAAGCAGAGACTATCTCACAGAGCCTTGCAAGGGTCAGAATGAAGGGGACAAGAGAACTTAGGGAGGGGACCAAGACAGAAGCAAAGAGAAGACACAGAAGCAGAGAGTACCTGAGACAGAGTTAACGAGAGGGCTCTGAGCCAGAAGCAAGAGGTGAGGAGAAGCTGAGTCTTCTGGGTCTTTTTTTTCCCCTGCTGAATAGAGCCTTGATTATAGTGTTACCCAATGTCTGATAAATTTCAGTCTACTTTCTTAACATTTCATGGCGAGAACTACATGAATGCAAAAGGCGTCCCAAAGCTAAGAACCTTGAGTCAAATATGGGAGAAAAACTCTTACCATAGCTGCAATTAACACCCCAATTTAGGTCTAATATTATAAAGGGTGATTTTTCAAGAAAATATTTTTAACTATCTGGTTTATTTTCATTCCCACTTCAGCCCAATGAGCCTAATGCGAGTCCCTTTTTTTTTTTTTCCTTCAGTAACAGCTGTTCTTTTGAACCTTCTGAATAGGCATCTGATTTAGATCTGAAGGAAGTCATTTTAGAAGCTGGTGCAGACTCGCATAAGCACAACTCAGATAAATCCAAGCCCATGCACCACAGATTTCTTTAAAAAGCAAGAAATCTGGTGACCAGCAAGGAATCAGAGTTACTGTTGAATCTAAACCCAGTGGACACATTTTCCTCCTCCAGGCTGTAAATTCAGGCATAAATGGTTTCAAGACTATTCCCTACTTATGAACTTAACATAGAAAATGTATCTGCAGTTCAACTACGAAAGAGGAAGAGCTTCTTTCAATTTTATTGGATCTCAGATCCATTATGACTTTGTGGCCTCTGCTGGAGAAAAACATTCTCATATAAGGAGCTCTTATATCATTAAATAGGAAATGAAATAACAGTTGATGGTAGCAGCCCCTGCAGGAACTCTCTGGCTTCTGACCCACCATATTGATGACTGGTTTGCGTGCCTACTCTGGGGCAGGGTTTTTGGTGAATGCAATAAATAAGTTTAACTTGACCAAGACTGCATTTATGTCCCATGCAATGACTACAAAATTTACAACAAAAAAAGTTGTAATTGAAAAGTCATTTAAGCTAATTTTTTTCCCCTTGCAGAAAAAAAAAAAAAAGAAGAAATGGGGCTTTAAGAAATTTAAACTAGCATAGGTTGAAGTGCAAACCTACTAATAATGGTCATTTAAATACTTACAATTCCATCTCTATCTGGTGAACCTCTGTAACAAAAAGAAATTGGTAGCTATTAGGAAAATGAATCATTCTTGCTACATAGTCTCAAGTATGACAATAAGAATCATTAACCACCTTTCTCCCCCCTCTCACGAGTTCCAACCCCAGTAAACCTGGCTAATGAAAGCCAAATCAAAACAGATTGGTTGAGTGATATTTGAGTGTGGGGTGTGTGTATGTGTGCGTGGGAGGGAGAGTCTCATTAAAAACCGAAATCCAAAAGGCACAAGTTGCTGGTGCAATGTCTTGAGAGGAGAATTCATTAAGAGCTGTCCCACCCAGCAGCCTTCTATTTGAAACTACCACCAGGAATGCAAACCCATTTGTTCTCTCTCATCTTCTCCCCATAAGTGGTCTTGAATTTCCCCTTATAAGAAGGAACTTCTTATACTTATAAGAAGAACTTATAAAACTACAAAGTAGTTTTCAACTTACTTTGAGAATCTGTATTTTCTTCCATATTTCTAGAGTTACTGCTCCTTTGATTACAGAACAGGAAATGGAGGGCAATTTTGCTAACTGGCTTGCTTTGATGACTAAAGTCCAGGGTATTTAATCCATGGTGAAGCTAGGCTGCAGTGCTTAACAATAAGGGCTTTAGAGTAGGATGAAGCCAGGTGTCCGGACTCCACCACTTATTAGCTCTCTGACTTTGAACATATTGATTATTACTTAGTTCTCTAAGCCAGCTTAAATATGATAAGGTATATAAAGAACTTATAATGGTTCCCGACACATACTAAGTATTCAAAAATGTTTGTTTGTTTGTTACAGGTTTTTTCCTCTTCTGTGATGTCTCTACCCTAGGAACACAAAACTGTTCACTTGCAGCCATGTTAGACTTTATAGCAATAGAGGAAGGGTATTATTATTGTTACTTTGGAAAACTGGGCTAGAGGAATCAGAGAAAGAGAGAAGAAAAAGAGTAGTCACTTTATAACTTCTTATATTAATTAATTCTGTAAGGAGCTAGAAAAAACATTATTCTATTAACATGGAGACCAGAATTATGCTTAGATGGGGACCTGCATGGTTTGGAAGAAAACCTTAGTAAGTGCTTGGGTGGACTATGAAATCTTGAAGAGTTTGGTGTGGTTGGAACTGTTCCTTAGCAGGTGGGACCAAGTGACAAAATTGTTTATTGCTTCATAGAGTGGGACAGAGGAGAGAGAGAGAAATGCAGAGTTGGTGGGACATCTTCTTGGCTTCAAGATGTGATTCCCCTTCTCCCACCACCTCCTTCAAAATTAGCAGAATATTCTACTTGTATTACAAAACACTTGATGGGAGAGCATCATTTTCCATAATCATTTCTGTGTCCATGTGGATACAGGGATGAATCAGTGATACAGGGGCCAGAAGCAGAGAGGACCCTGATATTGAAAGACCATGGGAGTTGACAGAAATCTTAGGATCTTTGGACATTCGCTGGCTATGGGAAAAAGTTGGTTCAAAGAAATTTCATCTAAGATAGAAAGATAGGAAGAGTCTTAGCCAATAAAAGTTATATATAATTCATTGAACAACTATTGAGTGCTTATAATAGGCCAGGCACTAGGCTAGGGTCAGGAGATAAAATAATGAAGAAGACATGCTTATCATAGAGAGAATGAGACAGGCAAGTAAATCCAGTGGGCTATTATGGCCGCAGTAAACCCAGGTGGTAGGAAAGTACAGAGGAAAGGTACCAACCCGTATTCATCAAAGTCAATTTTCCCTAGATTTGTACACTGCAAAAAATGAGCATTTCTTACTAGGATTTCAGCCTCTGCTAAAGGAACTGGTAGAGAAGAGATTGCATCAAATTTTGCATAGGACACATCCAGAGGCACTGATCCTCGTGGGGTTGTCTTTCGGGGCAGGTGATAGATGTGGAGAAGACAAGGCTCTGGAGATAGCCCTGGCTGTGGTGTTGCCCACTATTGGTCCAGGTAGAAGGGCATAGCTATAGGGGATCTTAAATGGGAAGCCACTTGGTCTCATGCATATTACAGCTATAGGGATGGCACTTCAAAAATCTTAATCAGAATAATTGTAATTGTACATAGCAGCGTTGGTGTCTATTCTGATCCTTTGTCTTATCCACTGATGGAAATGGGGCTGCTGCTTCCCCATATGACAGCAGTAAGCATGGTGGTATAGAGCACTAGCTATAGTGCCCAACTGCCCAGGTTCAATCAACTTAGATTTCCTAGTTGCATAACCCTGGACCAGTACTTCACTCCTTTGTGTCTCAGTTTCCTCATCTATATAACAGCCGTGATAACAGCATATAGCTCATAGGTCTGTTAAAGGATTCAATAAGTTAATATAAATGAAGAGCCCGGTATAGTACCTAGAACATAGTAAATACTCGTTAAATGCTACCTAGAATAAAGTTATTATACAAGCTGACCTAGGATGGGGAGTAGAGAGAGAGATTTTAGCAGCCTCAGACAATGGGGTATGTGTCCTCAGTTTATTTCCTAACCCCCTTTTATTAAGTTTTATACATTTTTAAATAATTTTTTTTTCTTTTTAAGAGCAGACCCATTATATTTACTGATTCTGTTTTAAAACTGATCATCTACCAGGAACGCTTTGCCTCTATTTTAAAAAGTGACAGTCACCTCTTGCCACTGCTGCCTTTTCTCTTTTACCCGCCTATTGGTCTTGAATATAATTTTGCCCATCTATTCTTTTTTTTTCTGAGTAATCAAAGAATAGGCACTTGACTCTGGACTAGAATACTGGCTCCATGTCTTATTTTTCTGGGTAGCCTTCAGCAAGTTACTTAATTCCTTTTGGCACTGATTTCTCATCTCCAAAATTGAGATATTATTTCTAACCTTGTTGAATTACTATGAGGATTAAAAAGGATATCAGTACATACAAAATACCCTGCACAGGGCCTGCCACTTAGCACAGGCTCCTCTCTCCTTTCCTCTTTCTATCAGCCATTGTAACGTTGATCAAATCAGGAAGCTCTGGTTCTAACCCCACTCTATCTAAGGACACTCAATCAACTGAAGTTGGAACTGGCAGCTACCAGAGCAGGTTACTTGTCAACCCTCACGGAGTTGCAACAGCCCTGAAAACAGTTTGTATCAACAAGGTTTCAGTGACTGCAGACTAACATAAGCATTACCTAAATCTGAAGGGATAGCACATTGCCAGAACATTTCTCCAGCCTTCTGCAAGAATGATATATGACCCAATTAGAGAGCAGGGGCTCATGAAAAGCAAAGGCTTACACTAAACGTCTTGTCCTTTGACCATCACTGCTGGTGGAACCAATTTATAGCTAATTTGCTATCACCTAAGTAAACTGGGGTGCTCAGATGATAAGAAGTAAAGGACAGATGCTTGGGATTTTACAAGAAAATGTCTTGTTAGAGTATTTCAGAGAGATATTGGGCATCTACACAAAGCCATGAAGAGTAACTTCCTCATTTTCATGTTTTTAGAAGTGGTGATGGAAGAGTGGTACTTTGGCCACCTGCAAATGAGCTCAGTCTGCCCTGGGGAGGTTGTTTGACCTCTTTTTCCTTTTGAGGGAGCTTTTTTCCTTTCTAAGTTTCTTCACACACCAGAGATTATGTATAGTCAGTTACAGAAACCATCTCAAAGAAAAATGGATTTGTTTTCTGCTAATGATGTTCTCCTGAGATATGTCTAATAGTGTCCCCCACAACACATGGCACATTGTAGGTGGCAAAAGATTCTGTTGACAGACGGACTGCTACAGTGTCTGGCCTTTTATGGAAATTCAATTCCATCTAGTACAAACTGAGGCCCATTAGAGGAAAGTGTATTCTAAGTCTGTGGAGCTATTGGCAATGCTGAAACCAGAGCCCAGGTCTTCCGACTCTGGTGAACGAAGCATCTCCTGTTCTGGTTAATGTTTCAAAGTTGGCAATTTCTTAAGAAATAATGAAAATTATATAATGCTCAGAGAAATTTTTTTCTAATTTAATCATTTAGAAAAATTGGCAAGACTAGAGTAAATACAGCTTCCATGAAATAATTATTTACCCAAAGAAAAAACACAAAGAAAAGGTAAGAACAGGGGACTTAAAATTTGATATCTGGACAAAAAATAGCTTTTTACCCCCCAATCCTTTACAGTCTCTGGTTTAAAAGCCTTCAAGGTTTCAAGGTCGCCCACTGCCTACGGAAGGAAGCCCAGACACCTCAGCCTGGTTGGTACTTAAAGCCCTTCCTATCTGGCCCTGATCTCCTTTGCAGCCTTGCCTCCCACTATTACGTTTATGTGTGGCCGACAAGTAGACAGACTGCTCTGTTTAGCTTGTCCCGAATACCTACTTGGCTTTTCCACATCTCTGCTTTGGCTGTTGTCCCTTGGCATGAAACGCATGTCCTCATCTTCTTGAAGGCCAAAATCAAGGCTCCTCCCTCTTTGAAGCTTCACTGATCATTTATTCAAATATGAGCTTTCCCACCCTCCAATTCCCCAGAAATTCCATTTCTAATCGCTCCTAAGGAACTTACCACGTATTAATTTGTATTAGTGATAACAGGAGTAGTGGCTGCTACCATTCACTGAGCGTTTACTAAGTACGTGTTACCACGGTAGTCATAACAAATGTTAGCTCTTTTAGTTATATGAAAGATACTTCAATTTGCGTGATAGATATTCTATTCCATGAATTATAAATTCTCAGAGGACAAGGCCACAGGGCAATTCTCAGCACCTTGTGATAAAATTTATGCACGATAAAAATGTACAGAATGAAAAGCTAAAGGTGCGAGATCAACATCATCTTTTTTCTTTTCACCTGTGCCTAAACAACTATTGATTTTTGCATTTTCTAACTTTCTTTCAGGGATTCTTGTCAAATAAGGGGTTTTATAGGTTCATTATTCTGCTATACAGCAGACCACACCAGATCTGCGTTTCCACACGGTCACAGCCAGCTGATGCCGAGCAGTGGTCCTCTCCTTAATACATACGTAGAATCAGTGTCCTTTTCTTTCTTCCGTATTCCAAAGGCCTTCCTTGTACGTTTTTTCAATCCTGTGGGAAAACAACAAAAGGTCAAAAAATCTATTTTCTATTTGAATGTTCCTAGCAACATGCAAGTGAACATATTTTTAAAGTTGCAATATATCAGTTAAATTTGAACGTTCAAAAACCCGTGAAAGTTTCTTCATGTGTATGCATGTGTGTGTGTGCATGTGCATAGGATTCATTATTGTTTTTCAACAGATGTTTATCAAGGATATGGCACTGTAAGTTCTTAGCCCTATGAGCAATGTAAGAATATTAAAAAAAAAAAAATGGAAAGGAGATCAGGACAAAGTACAGTAAAGTAGGCAAGCTTTTCTTAGACTATTGTTAGCCATCGCCCAAACTGGCGCTGTGCCAAGAAACCCCATCACAGACTTAGAAGGACAGTAATTTCCAGGGTAGGCGGATTCTTGACACTAGGGTAGTTCCAAGACAGAGATTATATAAACCATACGAAAGAGCCACATTGGCCTGACACTTCTTTGTATCCCATATTCCCAGTTCATCTTTTTCTACTTCCTCAATTCGGTGGCTATACTGGATGCTCTGAACATCCCCAATACCTGTTCTCCTGTAACTCTTTTCTCTTTATGTGGTCCTTGCCACTGGCTGAAATGCTTTTCCTGTTTTGTTGATATTTACAACTTCCGTATGTGCCTTCACAGCCCAGTCAAATGCCCCCTCCTCTGTGAGGGCCTCTCAATCTTAGTGCTGTCAGAACTGACTATCCTGTACTCCCCCAAATGTTGCTGTTATATGTATTGCAATACATCAAAGCATTCCACTTATTAGTTCCTACGTCAGTTTCCCTCATAGACTGTAAGGCTTTCTAGGACAGAGGCCAAGGATACCCTCGGTATGTCCTCTACGCCAAGTAGAGGAACCAGGTAATATTTGTTGATTTAAGATGTCTTCCAGGAAGCATCATTCAGGTGGTATTGGGGTAAGAAGGCTCCTTTTCTTCCATCCTGGACAAACCAAGCCTATTCTTGTGTCTTCTATTGTTCTCCTGTCAAGGCTCTGTCAGGGATTCCTATCTCCCACGTGTCCTGTAATTACATATGTGGCTTGTGTGTTTCTCATGTTAGTGAGTATTATTGAAATATACCAATGCCTATATATTCAAAATCTTAGACTTGTTACTGGTGGTTTGGAACTTCATCCTGACTAATTAGAGCTGGAAAAGTCACTGACGTTCAGGATTTGTTTGGTACTACCAGGTGGATCAAGGGGAAAAACACTGACAAAATCAGAGATTTGATGACATCTTTTTTTAAAACATGTGAGTCAGCCCAGACCACTCAGATGATCTGAGTCATTCATTATCTGGCTCTTAGGATACTACTCAAATATAATCTCCAAAATGCCTCTGTTTGTCTAATTTTGTATTTGAATAGTCATTCCATTTAAGATGTTTAGGTCTTTAAAATGTCAATGTTTGTTTAAAAAAAAATCTCCTCCCACATTAAGCTATTCTCCATTACCCTCCACGTGAAGAGTTTATAGAAAACTTATTGACATTTAAAACTACCCACCCATAATATTTAGGAACACCTTCTCTCTGTTCATTTTTAATTTTGATTGTGAAAAACTTCTTTCTTCTCACCTGTAATTGCCTTATCTCCTTATAGGGACAAAATATTGTAGTTAAAATCATCATTTTCCTCCTATAATTTTTCTTGGGCTTCAAGTCTCTTAATTGGCTTCTCCATGCTTCTAATTCAGCTTTGGAGTCACAATGAATGCTATATTCACCAGTCACTACTGGTTTTTATAGAATTATAAACCAAATGCTATTATTATCTTATGTTTTCAAATTACTCTATTTTCTGCAACTTGACCATGAGACAAGAGATAGCATGCCCTACCAAACAGATGAGAAAATACAGACAAATTCCAGTAATTCTTGTATTAAATTAGTAACAGAGCAGGCAATAGTAATTTTCCATAGACTCTGTCCTGTTTTTGACCACCAAACTTGGATAATAGCCAACATGAACTAGGTCATGAACGTCACAAGTTGTCCATTTTCCAGTGAAAAGTGCCCTGGATCAGGCTTCAGGAGACAGAGTCCATTCCCAGCATCATTTCTAATTGTGTAGATGAGTATGAGTTACATTCTTTTTGTATTTCCATCTCTCAGTGTACAACAAATCAGCCAGTAATAAGGAATGAAAGAATTTGCATATGTTCACAAAATGCAATGCCATTCTGTAGTTTTAGTTTCACTGAAAGTCATATTTCCTATATGTAAAATACATTCCTATATATGGAACATAAATAGGAATACACTAGAGATGTGACATTCCAGAAAAACAAAACTAATCGAATTATTGCATAAGAAAAAACACTGAAGACTTTTCCCCCTTGAAAGGTGGAAAGGTGTGAGAAGTTTAGAAGAGTATGAAGAAAACTCTGAAAGACTAAAACAAAGTTATGAAATATAAAAGTTATTCATATCTTAACAGCTTTTTGAGAAGACCCAGGAAGAAACAGTCATACCAACCATGTTACAAGTGAATGGAGAGGTGTGGTCAAGTCTTTTGAGAGTTTATTTAAAAATATTCAAAGAAATTCTTCAGAAGAGAGCAAGGACAGTCAAAAATCTTACAGGAGTAACAAGTTTAAGACACTGTGTCTGGTAAAATGACAAGCTTAAAAAACAGCATATCCAATGATTTTTCACTTCAGACTCCAATATAGTGTAATTGTTTTTAGGCTGGGTCATGAATTTTTGCCAACTATTTCTTTACCAAAAATGGGAGGGAAAAAAAATCAAGTGTCTTTGAGAAATGAAGTAAATAACTTTTCCCTTGCCAATATCAAAACAAAGAGATCTAAAGAGAAAGAATTTTAAGGTCCTGATGATCTGGGGCTAGAACAGTTTTCTTCCAAGCTATGGAATTGAGAACATCCTCCTGTGTGCATGCAGAACTGGGTCGGAAGTCTGGCCTGTGCCTCTTAGCATCTCTTCACCTAATTTAGATTCTTTTAGCTTCCATCAGTATTATGGGAGAAGTTAGCAAAGTCTGGGAACAACAACAACAAAATTAAAAACAGACTGAGCTTTAAGAGGGTAGGAAAGCTTATTTCAAAATAGGTAGTCCTGGATATGATATTACAAGATAGTGAAATAAAGAAACATGCAGAAACTGACAATAGTGACAGCACAAATATATATAGTAATATTTGTAGCTTTCATTACTGAGGTCCTACCTATGGGCCAGGTACCAGCTGCTTTGCATATGTTGACTCATTTAATTTTCTTACAAATCTTGTGAAAAAGTAGGAGGTGTTTTCTTTGCAAATGATGAGCCTGAGGGTTCACCTGAGTTAGGTTTTATTTATCATCATCTCTAGGGAGGAAATTGGAGGCTCCTTCTCCCTCCATGGATCCCCAAAGTACCTCTGGACTCTGTCCTTAGTTCCTTTACACTCTCTCCCTGGGGCAATTTCATTCACTCACATGGTTTCATTTTCCATCTGTATGCAGATGAACCCTAAATCCATAGGTCAGATCCAGTACTATCTCATGAGCTTCTGGATATACAGCACTTCTTCTCATGCTCAAACTTCTACAAATAGACATCAGGTTTCTTTGAAAGCCTTTAGGTGCCTATATATATATATATGTATATATATATATATATATATATACATATATGTAATCAAACCTCTAAAGGTATGTCCAATTGATTAGTTTACAATTATTTTCTGAATAAAATCTCCCTTAAAATGAAATAGTTCTCCATGAACTAATGAATGGATAAACAAAATGTGATGTACCCATACAATGGCATATTATGCAGTCATTAAAAGGAATGTGATACTGACACATGCTACAACATGCATGAACCTTGAAAACATTATGCTAAGTGAAAGAAGCCAGATACAAAGAACCACCTATTGCATGAGTCCATTTATGTGAAATATCTGGAGTAGGCAAATTCACTGATACAGAAAGCAGAGTAGAGGTTGTCAGGGGTGGAGTAGAGGGGAAATGAGGAGTGACTGCCTAATTGGTACAGAGTTTCCTTTTGGGATGATATAAAAGTTCTGGAACTGGATAGTGGTGATGGTTGCCCAACACTGAGAATGTACTGAATACACTTAAACGTAGCCAAAATGGTAAATTTTGTCGTGTGTATTTTATCACAATAAAAAAGAAACAGAATAGCTCAAGCCAGATTATTCTGTGACCAGAGGGAAGAAAGATAGGAGGGAATGAAAAAGAAAAGAAACAGACAAGGCAGATTGGCTTAAAAGTTTGGAATCTTTGTTTTTCCTTTTCATTTCATCTTTTGTAAAGTTGTCAAATATTTAGTTAAGAAACTGGGAGCTATATAGTCACAAATCTGTGTTCATGATGACCTTCACCATCGCGAAAGTGATATGTCTGCAAGAATTTACAACTACAACAACCCTCCAGCTTTTCTCTCTCACATAATAGCTGTTTACAAAAAGCTTGTCATAAACATATTTTTATGTAATGTTCCTTTCAGCTTTTCTCATCAGATCACAATGTTATGTTAATCCCTACTAGACAGTAAGCTCTGTGAAGTCAGCCACTCTACTATGTAGATGCCTCTCTTTATTTTCACTGCCCCATAGTGTTTCACGAATAGAACATTCCTTAAAATGATTTACTCAATTGTGTTAAAATAGAGCCATTATTTCTCACCTTCTTTTCAGACTGCAAGTCAGGCCATTGGAAGCTTATGAAATCAATTTGTTAGGGTGAAACCTCCATTCGAAAATAAAGTAGAAGAGAAAAACTAAGTGTGCATTGCCTGTAGAAAGGATGAAGACTGCATCATGAAATTCTTGGCCTCAGCTGTGTGGGTGGTGAGTGTCTGCAAACTGGGTGACCATGTAAAATATATTCTTATGATAACTCCAAAAAGTTTGAAAGTCTTTTAAAAAAATAAACCTTTCTTTTAAAAGTCTTTTAAATTTAAAACACAAATTACTGTGTTCACTATGTTTTTCTCTGAAATGTCTCCTAA